TTCTAGTCTAGCTCGCCTGGCTGGCAAAGCCATGGCGGAATTCACTGGAACGCACCTCCTTTTCAAGAAGAAACCAACCCGCGCCTAGCGACTAACCTCGGACGGGTGGTATACACGTGAGCCACCAGCGCCTCCAGTGCCACCTACACCCCCTGCACCGCCTGCTCCGCCTGCTCCTCCTACACCTCCTGCTCCTCCTGCTCCTCCTGCTCCTCCTGTCGGTCAACAAAAGCTTCAAGGCGAGTGTTCGGCAGCAGTACCAGACCTGGTTCGAGCAGGACGGCATGAACATCCTGACACCCGCAGGTACGCAAAAGTGTTCTCCCGTGACCGCTTCGTCTGTATGTCTGCCTACTTGTGGACCCACGTGTTTCCCACCCCCGTGTATGTGGTGCAGGGAACATTAAGAAACCATCTCCGGAGGTGGTGCTCAAGTGGATTTCACGGGCGTGGAAAGCTGTGCCCGCCGACCTGATAAAGAGAGCGTTCCTCACCTGCGGCATCAGCAATGCCCTTGACGGGAGTGAAGACGGACTGGTGCTGGCGCACCGGAGAGGTCAGCTATCCCACGAGGTAGAGGTTGATGACGACATCCAAGCAGACGGGTTCTTTGGCAACTACTCCACGGAGCCTGAGTCGGATGAGGAGTAGGCCTTAGGCTAGACTAAACTTAAAAATGTTGTGTAGGCTAGGATGCTAGTCTAATGTATTTGACTTGAAAGTTTTAGTTGAAATTTTTAGCTAGAGTAATGTAGTTTGTACGAACGTTGTAAAGAAACTGAAAAAAACAACATACATTCTCGTCTATACAGCAAGAGTGCGCTTATAATAAGTAAGGTTTTTTTAGAGGGTGCGCTTATAATTGAGGATCGGCCATAAGCGCATTGCTCCAGATAGAAGCGCATGCGCTTAACATAGGCCTGCGGCTATATCCGGGCGATACGGTACTTGGTTCTTTTGACCACATAGTTCAATCCTCGCTATAACGTTCCATTGCAACCGTAACAGCTAACAAAAATACACTTCGACGTACTACATGCTGTCCTTGAAATTGCCGAGATGCGACCTTTGTGACGCGATGATTGCGCACTGCTGACGTCGATCAGGCTGCATCTGACATCTCTCATCTCTACAACAATCAGGGCGAAGGCAAGTCTGGTACGGTAGTTGCACATATTCGTTGCCCTGGAGACTAGAGGACTTTCGTTCCTCCTGCATTGCGTGGAAGGGTTCCGTTGTCTAGTTTGGCTGGTATCGCAAGATCAGCTATGGTAACCAACGCGAACGCGCCGCGCTTTTGCACAATGCTGCCGCGCAATTCAAGTAGCTCAAATAGGCAGACCATCCGCAGCAGTTCCATCATCTGCTCTCCGCATTTTCCTCCATTTTTCGAATCTACTTTCGCTCGGCAGAACATTTCGCAGCAGTTCCATTCAGTTCAATCCGCTCCAGTCGTCCACGGCAATTTGCCGCTGCGAATCGATCCGTTTCGGTGAGCACTCGCCGCTGTCGGACGCGCAATGACGACGATGGCTGGAATCAGCTCCGTTCGAGTCGGCGACTCGCAAATGTCGCACGTACCGGAGACCATGTCGGCGTGGCAGTACTTCAAGCACGGCGGCGGGGCTGATGCTCTCTCGGTGCGTTCCGTCCCCCCGCCGCCCGAATCATCCGAGGCTCTTCGTTTCTAGCAGCAGTTGCTTTTCTGCGCCGAGTCACGAGCTTCCCTTTGCTTACGTCAGGCATCCTTAGTAAGCCCACAGGCATTCCATTCCGATGCCATCGTCGCACCGCGACGGAGTTGCGGTCCATACCCCGCGACGTACCCGCATCATCATGAACTGAAGCATGACGGGCTCCGTCACTTGAATGACCGACCTTCAGCTTCAAGCTCTACGGCATGGTATGGACACGCAGATGCCGCATCATCTGCGTGCTGTTACGTGTCCTCCATCCCGCACGCTCCACCGCACTTCACCAATGACCGACACACGCACGCTGTGTGAGGGCGAGGTGGTGATTCGAGTGCGCACGGCGAGCCGCTTTACTTTGAAGCCTTACCTAGATTTTCCTTATCCCCCACCCCGTCCAGCTTTACCAGCTGAATGATGGCGTCCCGGCGCGCATGAGGAGAGAGTATTAGCATAATTTTCCCCATTCGGCATCCCCCTCATACTATCACCAGTTGAGCAACAACGTCCCTGTGGCCAGTCGGTGCAAGGGCGGGTGCTGATCGCGAGCGCGCGGCGAGCAACTTCAACCTCAACAGTTTCAACGGGTTTAGGGTTTCTCCCCATCCCTCACTCCTCCTCACCTCACGGCAGTTGCATGAAAACGTCCTTGTGCCCGGTCCGTGCAACGGCGAGGTGCTGATCGCATGCGCGCAGCGAGCAACTTCAACCATGATGGTTTCTCCCCATCCCTCACTCCTCACCTCACGGCAGTTGAATAAAATCGTTCCCATGCCCAGTCCGAGCAAGGGCGAGGTGCTGGTTCGTGTGTGCGCAGCAAGCAAGAATTTAATATCCACATGATTTACCCCGTCCGTCATGCCCTGCTTTTTACTCAGTTGAACGACAACGTCCCCGTGCCCAGGCCATGCAAGGGCGAGGTGCTGGTTCGCGTGCGTGCGGCGAGCATCAACCCGGGCGACTGGAAGGTGCAGTCGGGACTCATCCCCTTCCTGCCTCGCCGCTTCCCCGCCACCGCTGGTGAGAAAAGCGTGCATTTAAGAAGATGAAAGCATTTAAGAAAAACCTTTAAAAGGCAGAAGATGAAAGCATTTAAGAACGACTTTCCAAAGGCAGAAGATGAAAGCATTTAAGAACGACTTTCCAAAGGCAGAAGATGAAAGCATTTAAGAACGACTTTCCAAAGGCAGAAGATGAAAGCCTTTAAGAAGGACCTTCAAAAGCGCCCCGATTGATTGAAAGGTGCAATTTAGTCTCATCCCCTTCCTGCAGCTGTGACTCTCCGCCACCGTCGGTGAGAGCTGTGCATGCACTGCCTTGTGTCCTCACTGCCTTGTGTTCCCTTACCTGCCTCTGTGGTCCCCCCTCTGCTGGTGACGACCGGTATGCACTTCATTTCCCGCCGCCTTGTCATATACCCTTCTCACCGCACACTCGAATCCGGGATTATTGTTTGGTTTTCCTAAATTTCCTTTGTTCATGTAGGGTACGACCTGGCAGGCAACGTGGTGGCAGTGGGCCCTGGCGTTACCAAGTACACTGTGGGAGAGGCCGTTTTTGGAAAAGCACCGTTCTTCGTACGTTCCGTAACCACCAGATTCTGCTTTGTTCTTCGTTCTTCCGATCTCATCCACTGCAGTGCACCTATCTTCACCGGTCTGCGTTGCATCCCTCTCTTATGACATACTGCCACTTGCTTTTCGACTGCGGACAAAGCCTGAACCACAAGCAAACCAACCTCTCGTCCAAAGTCTGGTGTTTGGTGTTTTCACTGCCACTTCTCTTCCATACACCCTCCGTGCGTTATTCATCCTCTCTGGCCCCACTCTCGTTCACTCTCTCAGAAAATGGGCGCTCTGATGCACTGGCGCTCTGGCCCCACTCGGGTTCACTACGCAGTCGTCAACCAAGCTCACCTCTTGCTTGCGTTCCCTTCTCATTTGCTTTCCCATACCTCTTGCGTATTCTCATTCCTCTTCTCTCAGAAAATGGGCGCCCTAGCACAGTACGCCATACTGGAAGCTGCCCGCAGCGCACGCAAGCCTTCCTCCCTCACCTTTGAGTCTGCCGCTGCTCTCCCCGTCGGTCTCACCGCCCTGGAAGCCGTGAGGGACGGCGCTGGCCTGCTCCTTCCTGCAAGCCTGGAGGAACCCAAACAGGGTTGTGAGTCGCCTCAAAAACCGAGTGCGGAGCGCAGCCCTGATTGCAGTGGTAAGGGCGAGAACAGCAGCAACGGCACTGTTTCTGGTGCCAGCTCAAGCAGGAACGACAGTAGCGGGAAGAGGGCACGGGTGCTGGTGGCGAATGCGTCAGGGGGAGTGGGGCATATGGCAGTGCAGCTGGCTAAGGCAGCAGGGGCACACGTGACTGCCACTGTCGGCGCTCGTAACCTCGCCTTCGCTCGAAACGTCCTTGGAGCAGACAAGGTTTTGGATTACAACTCACCTGCAGGGAAACAGCTCTACCCCTCCTCATCCTCATCCCCTCCGCCTGTTTCCAGCCTTTCTGCTCCTACTGCTGCACAGGTTGCTTCATCCTCCCATCCGCCTATCACCGGGTTGTACGATGCAGTAGTCGATTGCTCCCCCACCAGCCTGGCAGTCTCTGCTGTGGACAGGGTTCTTCGTCCCCAAGGGAGGTGGGTGCATGTGGAGCTTCCGCTCTCTCTGCTCGCTCTGGGACTCTGGCGCAGCTTGGCTCTTCGCCCGAGGAAACTGCATCCTGTTATGATGGCGAACAGGGAGGGTGATCTGGAGGTGCTGGGGAGGATGGCGGAGGGGGGGAAGGTGAGGGTGGTGGTGGAGAGTAGTGTGCCGTTTGAAGAGGCGAGAGAGGCGTGGAGGAGGAGCATGGGAGGGCACGTGACAGGCAAGGTGGTGGTTAGGATGGAGTGAAGGGCTACAATGATTACAGCTGAGAAATCGGTCGCATGCATGCATCTTTTAGTTGTATAATGTTATGCATTGGGCATTACACAATTTAGCTTGATCCCCAAAAAGCCAGCATACATTCTATGCTGTGTTGAGGTAAATCGAACTCATCCCAATCCGCTAACCCATTCCCTTTCCACTAACCCACCCCACTCCCTTTCCACCCCACTCCCACCCGCTAGTACCACCTAACGTTCAGCCAGTCTTATGCTCAAAAGCACCTACCCGCCAAGAATCACATAACCCTTCTTCACCCTTGTGTCGCAATTGCTGGCGTCAGCTTGCCTTCAACAACCACTTCAAAATCCCGTCTTCCAGAAGTACCATTGAAGCGGTTTTTGGGGCGGCGCCTCGAAATTTCTTCACGCTTACTACATGCCTACTTAGCCTCGGCCATGAGCTTCTTGAAGTTGGTCTTGCTCGAGTACAGCGTCTGCGGCTTCCAGTCGGCGGGAAGGACCTTGTCGAGAGTGATCTTCTCGAGGGTGTGTCCCGCAGTCAGGCGAACGCTCACCGCCTTCTTCGCGCCCACAACCTCCTTCGCCTCCTTGCCCTTGATCCCCCAGATCGCCTTGCTGCCGTCGCGCGTCAGCTTCGCCCACTTCTTGCCGTCCACGCTGATTTCGACAGCTTTGAGCGTACCGGGGCCGGCGAGACCCACCATCTGAATGTTGAAATTCTCCGCCGTCGAGTTGCTGCGCACGCGCACCGCGGATCCGAGGGTCGAATGGCAGTTGGTGCGCTTGTACGTGACGCCGACGGGGGCGGCGTCGGATCCCTGCACGATCTTGGACCACGACACGGGGGAGAGCCAATGACGCGGACCGTGACGGTCGCCTTGCCGCTGCGGCAGTGCTTCGTGTCGTTGGCGCAAATCACTTTGTAGCACGCGCCGCAGCGCTGGCCGAAGATGGCGGGAGGAAGCTTCATAATGAGCCCCTTGCCGAAGTAGGGGTTGGCGGTGTAGTTTGCGTAATAGGCGCAGGAGGAGTCCTTTCCTAGCCCCGAGCTCTTGCTCTTCCTCGCCTTCGCCGCCACGGCAGGCGTGGTTGCGTTTGCAGACCCAATCGCGCCAGAAGCAACCCCCTTAGCATAAGCATTCGAGCTAGCAGGCTTAGTTGCGCTGGCAGGCGCAGTCGCGTTGGCGGGTTTCCCGGCGGCAGAGACGCGCGCAGGGGCGGAAAGGAGCAGCGCAGATGAGATGACCACGACGAGGAAAGTGGCCTTAGTAGCGGCTGTGTGGCTGAAGGGAGTCATTCTCGTATCTGTGGGTATCAACGAGGCTGAAGCGGTCGAGCTGGTGCTCTTAGACAGTTTCGAAAATATGGGGTAAATGATAGTTGTGATGAGATGAGCGGGAGTGGTGGCTCTTAATAACTTCACTATTGCTGTGTGGCACCATGAGTCGCGGGCAATTGACTTCACCGTAGATTGGGTTTCGGGGTTCTGCATTCCGAGTCGCACGAGTTTTGGGCAAAGGGTATCACATGAACATTGTCGCAAATAATTGCGGATTGAGTGTGCGGGATGGCGAGTTCGTGATGACCAGCAGCGTTTTCGCGAATGGCAGCCTGAATGGCAGACCCTGAACGAAATTTCGCGAATATGCGATACTTGATCGCGAATATTGCGAAAAATGATTGCTAAAGAAACATTTCCCACACATTTCCTTCCCGCCGCATGCGACGGCGCGAAATGCGCGGAGCTAAGGATGGTGTGATTATTGACAAGTCTAGGGTGAATTTCACTACAGCTTATACTGAGGACAGTAACATGTCATAAATTTCAGTGATTAATATTAATAAGATCCACACAAAGCTTGGTGATGTTGGGATTTTTTAGAGATTTATACAATCTGTACCTGTACTATGATCACCACGAAAAAAAAATTCTTTCATTCAGCCGCTCCAGGGCCTATAATATCATCAGGGTAAAATACCCTGATTACCCTGATTTCAGGGTTCGGTTAACCCCCTTGCCCTGAAGTTTCATGAACTCTGTACTTAGAGCCGTGAGATTTCAGGATGTTTGTTTTATATCACCCTGAGAATTCAGTGCTGTACGCCTGCCTGCCGTGAAGCCTCAAAGCGCTTGTAGGGCGTACTCTGAAACAGTTGCTCTGTGCGCCTAAGGGGGCCCCTGTGCGAATTTCGCGCCGAAAACGCGCGAGTCGCCCCCCACCACTCACTTTGACGACAAAATTGCCCACACGAGGCAACTTACAGGAGTGCTGCAGGCTACTCCTCTAGCACCCACCACTAACACAACCATTTGCACGAACTCACACGTCCACTGCTGCCTTCCCACCGCATGCGACGGCGCGATATGCGCGGAGCTGATGGATGGTGTGATCATTGACAAGTCAGTTTGACAATCCTTGATTACTATAGTTCACTACAGCTTATACTCATGATAGTATCACGTCATAAATTTCATTGGTTAAGATTATTAAGATCCACACAAAGCTTGGTGATGTTGGGATTTTTTAGAGCTTCATACAATCTGTACCTGTGAGAAGAAACGAGAATGAATGAACTATGAATGAAGTGGGTACAAGTACTAACCCTAATTGGGTTGTACCCCCTATGGGATACCCCACTATAGCCTACACAACAGCATAAGCTATAATGTTCTGACACACCCCCATAGGCAAAGTGGGGGAGAACAAGGGGTCACAAGACCAGTCAAGCAAAGCAAAGCAAAGCAAGCCCAGGGTGGATCACAACGTCACCACACATTCCGACCACAAGTTCAAGGCCACAAGGCCAGTTCACATGCAGGAGTACACATATATATATAAGGCTAGACAAGTAATAGCAGGTATATATATATATGTAACATTACAAGGAAGGTCAAGAGGTGAGCAAGTGAGGCAAGACAGGTACAAGACCCAGCTGGGTGCAGAAGCGCTGATGATCACAAGGCGCAAGTGCCTTGGTGAAGACATCAGCAGTGTTGGCCTCAGAGGCCACGTACGCAAGCCGCAACTGACCACGCTGCTGTAGCTTACGAGCAAGGAAGTAGCGAAGAGCAATGTGCTTTGTTCTGTGCTCCAGTCTCTACTCGCGACACAAGGCCAGCATGGCCTTGTTGTCTACGTACACGACCGGAGGAGAACGAGGCGGTTCTCCAAGGCCGGTCAGCAGGTAGGTGAGCCAGCGAAGCTCCTGTGCAGCCATGGCCCCTGCGTAGATCTCAACCTCACAACTGGAGCCGAGAACAGAAGACGAGGGAGTAGCCCGCCACGAAACAGAGCCGGAACCAAGGCTGAAGGTGTAACCCTGTGACGACCGCTGAGTAGCCTGGTCGTCAGCCCAAGAAGCGTCCGCGTGCCCAGTGAGGACCACTGGACTCCGCCCTCCAAGCACTAGCCCCATGCCCGACGTACTGCACAAGTAGCGCAACACCCTCTTCGCTGCAGCCATGTGCTCTGGTCGGTGTCTCCCAGGAGCAACATAGCGTGCGAGAATGCTAAGAGGGTATGCAAGGTCAGGTCGTGTGCAGGTCATCAGGTACATGAGGCAGCCAACAAGCTCTGGGTACGGGCCACTCGACTCTACGGACTCATCCGAAGGCAGAGCTGAGAGCGAGTGGCGAGTAGACAGAGGAGTGGCGTGAGGCGAGGAGTACGTGAAGCCGAAGCGCTGAAGAACCTGCTGCACCATGTGTGACTGAGTCAGGGTAATGGTGCGGTGTGCTCTGTCCCGGGTGATCTGCAAGCCAAGGTAGCTGCGCAGTTCACCCAGGTTTGTGCACGTGTGTCTCTTCTGCAGCTCGGACTTCACGTAGGCGAGTCCAGCTGTGGCAAAGACCAAGTCGTCGACGTACACGAGGATGTAGAACGGTGGCAGAGAGGTGTCGGTGCGTAGAAACAGCGACGGGTCGGTAGTAGACAGAGCAAACCCAAGAGCCGCAAGCGTAGTCCTCAGTGTGTCGTGCCATTCACGTGGCGCCTGGCGGAGACCGTAGACTGGACGCCGGAGACTCCACTGGGTACCAGGAGGGAAAGACCCAGTGAAGCCAGGTGGGCGGCGCAGCCAGATCTCCTCGTGCAGGCTGCCCTGCAAGAAAGCTGTGCTAAAGTCGAGGGAGTGCAGCTCGTAGTCACGCTGGGCAGCAACATGCAGCAGTACCCGAAGAGTGGTCATCTTCGGGGTGGGAGAGAAGGTCTGAAAGTAGTCAACTCCGTGCCGCTGACTGAAGCCACGAGCCACGTAACGCGCCTTGAAGACAAGCGGAGAACCCGGCGGCCGCTTCACCCTGAAGATCCACATGCCACTGACGATGTTCGCCCCAGGAGGGGGGACATCATCAACGTAGGTGCCTGTGGACTTCCAGGAAGCCATCTCTGCATCCATAGCTGCCTGCCACTGAGAAGATTAGGGACCCTCTATCGCCTCCGCGTAAGAGCGCGGAGTCGAGATGTCAAGTGCATCCGGGTCTCCTTCTGGGGTAAGCAGTACGGACACGAGATGAGGTGAAGCAGCGGCCAAGCACTGGAAATCCTCCTGCCTGTCCTCAAGAACGTCCGTGCCAAGGGCACACTCACCCCTGACGGTCGGAGGACAGACAGACTCAGACTCAGCGACAAGACTAGCAGCGTAGTCTAGGCGACAGCGAGCAGCAAAGTCGACGAGCTCAACAACTTGGGCCGACGCAGCAGTGGACTCGAAAGAAGGGTCAGCGACGACAGTAGCCAGGAGACGCGTGACAGTAGGACTGGCAGCACGAAGAGAGTCCGACTGCGGGTCGGCAAAAGCTGGAAGAAAGGACTCAGGAGGAGAAGGCAAAGGGGCACGCAGAGGAGCAGTGGACGGACGCAGAGAGATCCTGTGCATGCCACGGACAGGCGACGCAGGGCGAGACGCAAGCTCACGACGCTCAGTAAGACCTCCAGTAGGACCAGTGTAGGGAGAAGGAGCAGGCAAAGGGGAGGTAGGCTGCAGCTATAACTGTGACGGGACAGGCTGTGGACACTCTAAAGAAGGAGGAGGACCACTAGAAGGCGGAAGACCAAGAACCTGCTGCAGGAGTGGAACGAAGTACGGTCGAGGCCGCGCGGCGACGCCAGACACAACAGGTACAGCACCAGTACCCCCAGCAAGAGCACCCGCTCCAACTGCACCTCCAGCAGTTCCAGAACCTCCAGCAGCACCAAGAGTACCCGCAGAAGGACCGCAAGCAGTAGTCTCAGCTCCAACACACTCAGCAACACCAGCTTCAGTCGAACTCGCAGGCCCTGCAGCTTCAGTACTCCCAGTACGAGCACCTCCAGGACCCGCGACAGCAGCACCCTCAGTAGCCAAAGAACCTCCAGCACCAGCAGCATGCCTCCAGCGCCGGGCAAACCACTCGCGCAGCTCCTGTGGAGAGAGTGGCTCCCGGAGAGACGAAGCACCCGGAGAACCTCCAAGCGGAGCACCTCCAAGCTCAGCACCCCCAGGCTCAGCACACGCAGGTGTAGCACCCCCACGCAAAGCACCCCGAGGCGCAGGACCCCCAGGCTCAGCACCCCCAAGCTCAGCACCCCCAGTCTCAGCACCCTCAGGCTCAGCACCCCCAGGCTCAGCACCCCCAGTCTCAGCACCCCCAGGCTCAATACCCCCAGGCTCAGCACCCCCAGAGTCAGCACCCCCATGCTTAGCACCCTCAGCAGCACCAGAGTCACCAGTGACCTCGACAGGCTCGACTGCGTCTACCTGGGACACACCTGAAGGGGACGGACCCTGAGGGGGGAGGGGGTCTACTAGAGGGGGACCTAGTACAAGGAAGAGCGGCGGCGGGGGGAGGGACAGAGTGCGGTAGGGGAAGAGGCGGTAGTAGGGGACCGACTCGTCAAACGTGACGTCCTGGGAGGACAGAACACGGCGAGAGGTGGGGTGGTAGAACTGCCACCCAGGCGCGTCAGGGGGGAACCCCAGGAAGACGCAAGGAGCAGCACGAGGGGACTGCTTGTCCGCGACAAGTCGCGGACAAACGCCCGAGATCCACAGACCAAGAACGCCGACGCATCGCCAACCTTCCCCGTCCACAGCAAGGCTGGGGAGGTCTCTGGCCTGGAGACCCTGGGGTGTATGTTGATCTGATGCGCCGCGTACCTCACCGCAAACGGCCACAGAAAATGGGGAGCAGCCGCATGCATCATAGACGTACGAGCGACGTCCATGACCATGCCAATGCGGAGCTCAGCAATCCCATTTTGCTGCGGGGATTCCGGAAGCGTGAAGGTCTGACGGATGCCTCGTGCGCGACAGTAG